CTGGGAGGATTTTTGTATTTTGGGGTAAAATTGAAGCAAAAACAAACGATTAGAATTACAGGAAAATGATCAAATGCTTTACCCTAGCAGGAAAATAAGCTGCAATTTTTGACCACTGTTTGGCCGGCGCATTTTCATAAAATTGTATCTCCAGAACGGGACAAGGCAGACTGTCGTTTGCGCCACTCTAAAGAGAAACTTTTCCTCTATATATTGGGGAAAGTTTCATTCAAATCACATCTTTTTTAGTTAAGACAAGTTTTCAATAACGCGCAAAAATGAAGGTTGTATTTCAGATGCATTTAATTCTAAAACTGGACGAGTTATATTTACGCCTGTTACGCCACTGCAAAGAGCAACCGTCTCGTTAAATATTGTGAAAGTTTTATTACAGTTCATGGGGCTCTTGAGTTGGGGCAATTTTTCAAAAATCGCTCCCAAGTTTGCATTCCAATGACCAGCGTTTGGTTCGCTCAACTTCAAAAAAATACATCTCCAAAACCTGATGATCTAGAGAGTTGGTGCTCACACCGCAGGAAAGGGCAAGCATTTTTATAAATGTGGGGAGAGTTTCATTTGGAGCCAACTTTTTCCTGAGTTGGGACGAATTTTTAAAAATTTGCCCGCGAGTCTGCTTTCAAACCGCATTGTTTGGAATTTTTTACTAATAAAACTAGACGTCGAGATATTCCTGTTATTTTACCGCAAAGAGGTATATATCGCAAACGCTCTGGCTCATTTTTCCTCCGAGATATGAGCAAAAACGGGCCGGAAAACATGAAATTTTGGCATATCTTGAACCTAAGTGTTTGATATTCAAATTTCGCTTTCTGCGCCAAAACTACTCGAATTTCCTCACTCACGTTGTTACGACTGAATCGAGTTTTCAATTCTCTATCCAACGATGCCAAAACGAATTCTGTTGCTCAAAAGGTTCATGAGAAACTTCGAAAAAAGCAGCGTCATGTTCAAGTGGATTTTGCAACTAAAAAAAAACCACGCAAATCTGAAACTTCTTGAATTCAAGCCTTTTTTGAGAAAACTGCCAACATTTCCCCATCCATGGTTCACTTTCTAAAAAG